TCGTGGCACACACGGAAGGGGACCAATTGATAAAGCCGCCCCCACCCCCATACCCCCCACACAGCTGGAAGCCTCAAGGATAGAGAATAAAGATTCATTACATAAGTATGGGTCGCATCCAGAAAATATAAGGGTATTTCGGAAAGAAAGTGGGTATATTTGCTATTTTAAAAACGTAGGTACAGTTGAACAACAACAAAATGCCCTGTGACTTCTCCCCACTGGAAGAATATCCTGAAGTTGCAAATGTCAGTCAAGTTTTTAAAATCAGAAGCTGGGGGATAAATCCACAAGCATGAAGCTGAGAGCATTCCATAAACCTGCCTTTACAGTGCACCATGTTCCAAATTAAACATAGACTTACTGCTGCATAAACTGTAACAAGTATCCTTATTTGTAATTCAAGCACCTTAAGCACCCAAACGCGGGTTTAGGTAAGTCTTGGCCTTTGTTCTCATCGCTCTCTGCTTTCCCCCCTCCTCAGCTCTCTCTGGATCCCAGTGCCCATCCCATTCCCTTCTTCTTTTCCAAACCTTTTGGAGTCTTCCAGGCAATCCCTGAGACCACTGAGCGTGGGACCCCAGGACTGACAACAATCAGAGCACTGCTGAGCTGCTGACCATGAGCTGAGCAGACAAGGCTTCAAGGAAAGCAGAACATTTTCTACCCCTGTGAAAGGAAAAGTGGGATATAAAGCATGAAATTATTCTCATTCTCCTGTGACAAAACACCAGCAACTCAATGGTTTAGAAACTGACGGTGGTTTTTGTTTTTTTTTTTTTGCTTATGAGTCCCCTTCCTTCCTTACTGCAAGCCTACATGGTTCATTGCTTCCACTGGCATTGTCAGGTTTAATATCCTGCAGGCTCTTCCAGTGAAGTTCAGACATGCTGCTAACAGTAAATAAGTAACAGCTTCAGGAGTTCTGTTATTTTGCATGCAGTTTGCCCTTTGATACAACTGATGCTTGGTTAAAACATGAAGATTTCTCTGGAAAGCAAAAGGCATAATTTAATAACTAAAGCCTGCATGATAATCTTTTGACGTGCAAAATACCAAGAACCAGGAAGCACCAGGACCATATAAAAGTGAATGACAAGCGTAGGTACGCACTCTGTCTACCTGGCTTGCAAAGAATGAATGTGATAGAGCTGGGAGTAATATCACCAGGAGTTCAGCATTGTGTGCAACTTTTCTGGTGAAAGAAAAGAAAAATCTGTACAGCATAAGGATGAAGCAGATGTCAAGGATGGCAAAATGATTGATGAATGTACAACTGCTCTT